ACGTGTGCTCTTCCGATCTAGAATATTGTGCACAGAATATTTTCCTCTTAATTTCAAAGGATTCCTCTTGAGGCCATATACAAGAATAAAATCCTCTAAGATTTAGCGGATTCCACTAATAATAAAATTATTTTTTTTTGGGTGTTCAAAGAAATTACAAATATATGGTAATGTCTTGTTACATCATGAATTACATGTTTTATTCAGGACTTGTAAAAAAAATTTAGCTTTAGTAACACAGAAAAAACTAATATTTTTATAAAACTTTACTTAATGTTAATGTTTTAAAAGAATACTGTTTATTAAAATTTCAGATTCGCAATGGTACTTGCGGAATTAATCGGGACTTTCGTCGTTGCTCTAAGCATTGTATATATTTATTACAAGTTTGTGATATTTAATTTTTGGCGTAAAAAAGGTGTTTTTTATGTCGAACCTGTCGTACCAACTGGAAATATAACAGCTCTTGTAACTGGAAAAGCGCAATTAGGCGAGTATCTCTAAGTATTATTAAAATGCGTATTTGCAATAAATTCATATTTATTTTCAGGTGTGTAACTCTCAACATGTTTAATTAATTTAAATATTTAATTAAAATTTAAAAAAGAAAGTTAATATATTTCAAGGTATAATTGACTGGCAACTACAAATTTAATAGCAATATAGTAAATTAATTAGCTTTTATGCATGAAATTTTTATTAATTTTAAGAAAATATATAGGAAATAGGAATAGATATATAGGAAAAAGGAGCCGATTATTTTAACCTCAACATAGTTGTCAAGGTCATAAAGTGATATTCAGAAAGTCTTAGCTTTGTTAGAAAATCAGTAACAAAAAAATTATAAAAATTAACTAATTATTAAGTAATTATTCACTTTAGTGTGAACACCTCTAATGATTTTTGACTTTGACGTTATAAAAATCAAAGCAGGAGAGAGGTGTGAGTGGACCTCGCTTTGCGTGGTAAGTTGTAATTATCTTAATTGTTTTATAGGTTTTTATACTTTCTAAATTTTCTGAAGTGACTTTTCACTTTTGGGAGTAAATCTTATTCCAAAAGAGTGAAAATACTACTACTTAAGTGGCCGAGTGCAGTAGTATTTTTAATCTTTTAGAGTGAGATTTACTCCAGAAAATTTAGAGAGTAGGTTGACTTTTCACGTGAAGCGAAGTCCACGCCGCATCCATCTCTATTTTTGAAGCGAAACGAGATCTATAATTGTATTGTTCTACACGAGTTTTTGACTTTTTTTGCGAAACGAGGTCTATAATAGTACTATTCCGCATAACAATAATTTCTTAACGAGCAACGCACGAAAAAAAATTTTATAATTATCGTTAATTTTTACAACTATTTTGCTAATAACTTTTTAACAAAGGACGAGCGATAGCTAAAAACTTTTAAAGATCATGGCCTTCTCAGGGTTATGATATTCTCAGGATCATGACCTTGACAACATATGTCAAAGTGAATGAGAAGGGGGAATTACGAGGAGTTAATTATACAGTGCATGTCTTCCTTTTTTTATATATACGAACATTACAGATACGCGCCTCGCGCGTGCTACTTGATATTTTTTACATTTTACTGTGATTTGCTAATTGCTATTATATCACATCAATCCCAATTCATAAAATTGTCAAATTATGCAATGATAGCCGTTCACGAAGTAAGCAAAAGAATCAATTATCATTGCAGCGGAAAGAAGTCAATAATAAACTTTGAAACATTTGAGAGGCTTTTATAGATTCAAGTATCGATTTAACATTTTTGCTTCTTTTAGATAGAATTTACTTAATTATGTTTTTATGTTTTTTTTTTGTAACAATTGTATTAAACAATTGTATTAAAAATAAAAAATTACTATATCTTATTCATAATTTATTTTTATTCCTAATTATTAATACAAACTTCCATCTTTACAAAATTAATATTATACTGCTTATTGTATATTTTTACTTAAAATAAAAAATTACAGAATTAATTAAACAAAAAATTTTTTAATAGGTGTACTCTTCCATGATGTCTACATGAAATATAAGCATCATCGCGTTATTGGAATGTATTCGCTTTTTAAACCAAACTTGTTGATCTCCGATCTCGATCTTATTCGAACGGTGTTGACAAAGGAATTCGGAAGTTTCCATGATCGTGGAATGTACTGTAACGTAAAGATTGATCCATTGTCCAACCATTTGTTTTTTATATCTGGAAAAAAATGGAGAAATATGCGCGTCAAAATGACGCCCACTTTCACTTCGGGAAAAATAAAACAGATGTTTTTACTCTTAAAAGAGTGTGGCGAAGAACTCGCAAACTATCTGGAGAGCAAAGCACAGATGAGAAATTCCGTCGAGATGAAAGATATATTTGCAAGGTAAATTAATTATAAACAAACTGTCTTTTAATTAAAGAGTTCTTTGCACGTCAGATAATAGCACCTGCTTTATTAGAAGTAGAAGTTTTTATATAGGGAAAATATTGGAGATGAGAAAAGAATAAGCAGCGCATTCTCAAACAAATATCCTTTTAAAAATAAAAATTATTTTACCATTATAAAACTTATTATTACTTTAATAAAGTATCAAAATGTTATCTTCCAAGTATTCCAAATTATATGAAATATAACATATTAATTTTGTTACATTACAAACATTTTCTAAATTTGTCATATTTCAATGAATCAATCGAATCTTACAATCCAAAGATAAAAAACTATACGTTATTTAATTTTTAACCTAACAATTATGAATAATTTAAAATTAATAATTACATGTAATTAACAATTAATATTATTTAAAACTTTTACAAAACAAATTCAAAAATTTTTTATTGTCATAAATATCACAAAGATTTCTTTTATATGCTTAAAATAATCTTAATTACTTTTTTATATCTAAATTACTTTCTTGACTTCCATTTTGTAACTACTTTTTCTGGATCACTTTTTTAGTATTATTTATTCAGCATTTGTGTTTTAGTAGCCTTTTTTTATACGCATAAATTTATTTTCTCGTAAGTTAAGTTTCTCTTAATAGTTTCTTATAATTTCAAACGTTTTGCAAAGAAATTCGACAGAATCTGCTAAAGTGCATATATATTAAAAATTATATATTAATTTTATCAATAGATATACAACGGATGTAATTATGTCAACGGCTTTTGGTGTTAAATCTAATTGTATTAAAGAACCGAATAACGAGTATCGCATTCAGGGGAGAAGACTTTTTGACATAAATCCAATTTGGACCGCCCTGTTTGTGTTTGCGCCACAAATTATGGATACCTTTTCCATCCCCCTCACGTATCGAAACGTCAGCAGTTTTTATATGAATATGTTTCGAAAAAATGCAGAATACAGACAATCTCATAACATCATCAGACACGACTTTATGAATCTTCTAATTCAACTTATGAAGAGAGGCTATGTTGAACCTGATGACGAAAAAGAAACCATCAATATATCGTGTTAATATACATATTTATTTATATATTTTTAACAATAGTTTTTCTATCTTAAGTATTTACATACAGCGTGTGTAAAAAAGGTCAGAAACCTGAATAACTCGGAAAATATAAATTTTATAGAAAAA